TCCTAGATCTTAATATTGTAGTTTTTAAAATGTATAACGGATATTGTGTAACAGGAAGAAAAGGTCTAAAAGAGCAGGGGAATTGGGAGGGGTAGAGGAAGGGAAAAAAGGGAAAGGAAAAAATATGAGAAGAGGAAAAAAATGGAAACAAGGTCTTCGCAAATAGGGAAGGGTGCAGGGGGTGAAGGGAGGGCAAGGGAAGAGGAAAAAAAATAAGAACCAAGAGACTCATGTAATGGTACAAGATCCCAATGATGAGTAACTGTATTTTATACCTAAAATGTACCAATAAAGTTAATGGGGGGGAAAAAAGAATGCTATTGGTATTTTTATTGGGATTGTGTTAAATTTGTATATCAGTTTTGGGAGTATGGCCATTTTAACATTGGTTCTGCCTATCTAGGAACAGGGAACAGCTTTCCATTTTCTGATGTCCTCTTTAATCTCCTTTTTCAGAGTACTATAATTTTTGTTGTAGAAGTCTTCCACTTCCTTAGTTAGGTTAATTCCTAGGTATTTAAATTTTTTTGATATTGCTATGAACAGTATTGTTTTCCTAATTTTTCTCATTGAGTTCATTACTGGTATACATGGATGCTACTGATTTTTGTCTGTTGATTTTATATCCTGCTACATGGCTGAAATTATTAATTCTAAGAGTTTTTTTGTGGAGTTTTTTGAATCCTCCGTGTAGAGGATCATTTCATCTGCAAATAATGATAATTTAACTTCTTCCTTTCCTATACATATCCCTTTTATTTCTTTCTCTTGCCTAAATTGCTCTGCCTAATGTGTTGAGTACTATGCTGAACAGATGTGGTGAGAGTGAACATCCTTGTCTTGTTCTTGATTTTAGATGAAAAGCTTTCTGTTTTTCCCCATTTAATATGATGTTAGCCATTGGTTTGTCATGAATGGCTGTTATCAGATTCAGGTAAAGTCTTCTATACCTATTTTCTTCAGGGTTTTTATCATGAAGCGATGTTGGATTTTGTCAGAAGATTTTTCTGCATCTATTGATATGACGATGTAGTTTTTGTCCTTGCTTCTTTTTATGTGATATATTACATTTACTGATTTGTGTGTGTTGAACCATTATTGCAAGCGTTGGATGAAACCTACTTGGTGATGATGTATGATCCTTTTGGTGATGTGTTACATTCTATTTGCCAATCCCCATTGAGAATTTTTACATCTGTGTTCATTAAGGAGCTTGGCCTGTATTTTTGTTTTTCAGTTGGGTCTTTGTGTGGTTTGGGCATGAATGATGTTGGCTTCCACAAGTGAGTTTGGAAGTACTCCTTCCCTTTCAATTTCATTAAAGAATTTCAGGAATATTGGTGGTATAATGTCCTCAAAGCTTTTGTATAATTTAATAATGAATCTATCAGGTCCTGGGCTTTTTTTTTTTAATTTGGTAGTTTTTTATTACCACCTCAATTTCATTGCTTGTTATTGGATTTTTCAAAATTTTTGTGTTTTCTTGGCTTCTTATGTCTTCTATTATGTCTTCAGTAACTCATGTGCACCTAGGAATCTGTTCATTTCTTCAAGATTTTCCAATTTCTTAGAATATAATTATTCATAGCAGTTAGTATCACCTGGATTTCAACAGTGTCCATTGTGACTTGGGCTTTTTAATTTCTAATTACATTGCTGTGAGTCCTCTCTCTCTCTCTCTCTCTCT